AAATTAAAAGGGGGGGCCGGGGGGGGGGGAGGGAAGGGGGTGCAAAACAACTCCTTGAGGGCCAGGAAAGACAAGTTGCTATATAAAGTAATTGCTTGCAGGCAATTTCAGTATATGCTAGTTCAAGGATGTTTTCACATATATTAAGTTAAAAACATTTTTACTTTCAAAGAAAGCAAAAAAGTACCGTGCGCTTCTTGTTTTTGGGGTATTTTTAACCTCAGGGGTTCAAGGTGGATATGAGTCTTACTTAGTTATAAAGGATATCCTTTTCAGCTTAGGTTACATGCATCGTAGAGGCAATATTTTCTTCTGTTTCTTCTTTTTGAGTTAAACTGAGTAGTAGCTCTTTGAGCCCATCCATGTTTGTTTATGCTTTCTTTATCCTTCTAAAATCATCAGCCGGTTTTAAATTTTGAAATGAAATGGTTACTACTAGAGGCACTACTAAACTTAGTAGCAGCCAGCAGTTTTACAAATGTACAGCAACTGTTAGCATGAATTTAAACAAAACATCTCATTTTTGAGGTTCTCTTAATTTTTTTATTTTGAATGAGGTCAGCGGATGTTTGAGGAAAAATAATTTCTTCTCTTTTTCAGGCTTACAGGTTTTCTCAGCTGCCTGAAATGATAATGGGCTCTCCCCCACCCCCTGTTCCTCCCAGAACAGGTCCTGTGGCTGTTGCCTCTCTCAGGAGGTAATTTTTGTTGTTGTCCTGTAGCTAAGAATTGTAACCCCCCTTACTAATGTAACAAGGATCCCTCCATAACTGTATTAAAGCCATAAGTGACACTTAATAACCATCTTCTTCATAGTGAAGAGGTGTTCATGAAATTAAGAACAAGCTGTTTTCTTTTTAGATGCACAACATTTCAACACGATGAGGGGGAAAAACCAACAACAAATGGGCCCATATTTTTATTCTGCTACTAACTAGTCAGTTGCCTAATTTAACAGATATATGCTCTGGTATCTCTTATGCTGTGGTCTGACTTGACTTTTAAAAGACATAATGTCATATCACATTACAAATATGCCATAAAAGTGGGAGTCACACTTACACTTTCCCTGCTTCTTTTTTCCTAAGAAGTCCCAACATTGAATGAATAAATTATAAAATGGGGTTTGTAAAACTGGCCTCAGGCCATTTATCTGCTTTTTCCATATTTCTTACCTATGTTTCTAATGCCTAATGAAAGAGCATGTTTGTCATCTTTAATATAGAAATTTTGCTCTTCATAGTGAGATTCATCACTTTTCAGGTGGATGAAGTTACAAGGGACATGTACAGGCATTACGTTTCTACCCGGAAAATTGCTGTGATCGGCAGGAGTCAAGCAAGCACCTTTCTTGTGCCTTCCCCAGACTCCAGGACTCTGTTCTGGTGAAGTTGGAGGGAGGAGGCACACTTCCGTACAGCTCATCATCCAACCCCCAGCCTTCCCAAAGCCAGATACAACCTGGTCTGGAGAAGTCATGTGGGCATTGCCTGCTGCTCCCTGCCCCATCTGGTGCCAGGGCAGTAGATGTACAGCTCTCCAAGTGCTGTAGCGGGGGTGTGGAGGGGGTGGGGGGCTGATCTGCTTCTCCCTGCATGGAACTTAGAGAGCCACATGCCCACAGCTCTGTGCATGGGACTGCAGGAACTGCCTTAGAGCTCCTCCATGTGCAGCATATCCAAAGATGGCACCTGGAGCCCTCCTGTTTTGCCCCACTGCAGAGGAGCAGCTGCTTACTAAGTCAGTGCAAAATTTCGCCGAGTGTTTCGTTTCAAAGCTGTTTCAATACGTTTCAAGCTCAAAACAGTGAGATCGAAATGAAACAAAAAGCATCAAAACAGCTTCGAAATGAAATGAGGACACAAAATGTTTTGAAAGTTTCAAAACATTTCGAGTTTTGAAGCAGTCTGGTGATGGGAGGCAGGGGAGAGCCAGAGCTGCAGTCCAAGCGGGTCCACAGCCTCATGTAGCTCAGCCCAGTGGGGAGCGCAGCCCTGGTTCCCCCCACCTCCCGCTGCCAGGCTGCTCTTCATGGGCTGGGTGGAGCCAATCAGTCTTCCCTGGTGCTGGGTGTGGGCTGCACCCAGTGCCGGTCCCAGGCAGTAGCGGCAGCTTCCTGTCATCTGGTGCAGATCTGGGGGCCTGCCCACCTCTGCAGCCCTCCTGGGGCTGCGAGCGCCCAGATCTGTGTGCCGGATGACAGGAGGCTGCTGCTGCTGGCAAGTGTCACAAATTTTGCTTTCAAGAATTTGAGGTGCAGTCTCCGAGAAACCTCTGCTCCTATCTCCTTAAAACTTGTCAGGCTGCATGCCCTCAGAAGGGGCTACCATCCCTGCAATTTGCATCAGAATCAGGTAACAAATGACAATGTTTTAGGCATTTTCATGATTCCCCATTATAGCCTATGGGCGAAATGTTGAAACAGCAAAACAATTGAGGAAATGAAACAGGACAGTGCTTTGAAATTAAACAAAATGAAACACTGTCCCTTTGAAACGTTGAAATGAAACAATGGTGTTTTGCACAGCCGTACTACTCACCTCTGTCTGTCTGCTCCACAGACTAGGGACCCCATTCTGGAGGTCGGGTGGGTGGTGTTGCCCTGCTGGGAAGGAACCAGAGAAGCTGCCAGAGTTACCCAGCCACATCCTAGAATAGGAATCCCCCACTGCTCTAGTTTCCCAGGACTGGGAAGAGTAGAGCAGCCACTGCTGCCCATGCCTAACCCAGTCTAGGATCATCCCAGTCTCAGGAATGTGCAAGGAGCAGGGGAAAGGCATGGCTTCAGGCTGAAGACTTTTCTCAAATACTTCTAGTGGTGGAAATTTCTCAGAAATTTCCATCACTGAAAATGAATACCTGTTTAAGGCTTTAGTCTTACACTTTACAGTATCTTTACAGTATCACCTAGGGCAAATTATAATCCCAAAACACTGCTGGGTTTTCAGAAGAATACCATTAGGATGCTGAAACAAATGGGTGTTTTCTGATTGGTTGCCAATGATATCCTATCTACAGAGAAAGAAAATAAGAAAGGTGGCAAGCATTGCTTTGTTCTTCATCCATTATTCTTGTTCATCCATTAAATTTCATAAAAATAATAAAAAGATCCTTGTGTTTCTAAGGGATAACAGTTCACTACAGTAATGTAAAGACTATGTCCATACTATTTCCATAATGTTCCTGAGAGCACTGCTGTGAAATGTGCCTGCACTTACTCCACATTAAACCCAGAAATGAGTCAGCAAAGCTGTTTTGAGGAACCCTCTTACTGATGCTCTTAAAAGCTCTCTGGCTTTGACATGTTTGGTGTGTATGGAGCAGGAGTGGGTGGCTGGGGCCTGCTGCTTCACAGTGCCCCCCAGGGTCACCAGTGAAGTGGTATGGACATACCCGGAGACCACACAGTATTTGGCCTTTGGTCTTATAATACTGCACCACGTATACTGTATTTAGCCAGCCTGGTCACTTTATTGTTCTCCAGATTTTTTGTATGTGGCAGGCCAGTGGGATCTTTCTTGGAGTGTTGGGTAAATGCTCTGATGTAAAACATACTGTTGGAAGCAGTAGGCGAGGCAAAGGAAATTTCTCTTTGATATTCATCCAATTTCCTATAATGCCACAGCAAAGATATGTAGTTCCTTGCTAGTTTTTGTTTGCAATGCTGCCACCCTTTCAGTCAAAATGTCTTTGTTTCTAAGGGAGTTGTCTATCATTCAGAATGGTCAGTTTCTTATTTTAATTTGTATACAGGTCGACATCTGATATTGGCAGTAAGACAAGAATATCTGAAGCCAGTGTGACCGAGCAAGCCCAGCATCATGATCCTACATCTTTTGCTCCAAGTTCAAGAGCCCCAGTGTCTGTGGGTCAATTGGATCAGTCAGCTCTGAATTACTCAGGTGAAAAAAATGTGCGGTACAAACAGAAATCAGCATGCAGTTTGTATTATGTGCAGATGAGGCTATGTGACATTACAAGCACAGATTATTACTTACAGTCATGGAGAAGGATAGAATTAAATGTTTTATTCTTCAAGGACTGACAAAGGTCCACGAAGATCATCTTTATTTCCCATTTATCACATGCAGCCCTGTAGGTGTATTGTGGGTATTCAAGTTATTTTCTTTTGAAATACCAGGTACTGGCTACTTTTAGAAACAGGATCACAGACTCAATGGTTTTATTAGGCAATGGATTAATTAGCCAGTGGCTAGCTCCTGTACTGTAGTCCTCAGTCCCTCCTGTAACTACTTAGCTTAGAGCCTAATGAGGTCCTGTGTGATGACATTATAAGCACAGGTTGTGTTTAGTTGGATTGGAAGATAGGAGTTTTACTGTGCAAAAAGCTTTAGCAAAGGAAATATAGGACTGAAAGGGTTTTACCTGGTTCATCAATGGCACAGGCAGAAGTGCAGCTCCCCACTGTAACTCATAATGCTTTGCAGGAAGTGTTATGAGTTGCAACGATGTCCCGGACCAAAGTTCACAGGTGGGTCCAGGGGGGAGAGAGGATTGGGGAATCCAGCTGCTGGCTTTGAGCATGCAGTTGGTTTCCCCTAGCCAATGGCCCCTACCCCCTCTCAGCCCAGGCGCAGTTTTCAGGAAGTGAGGAGGGAATGGAAGCAGAGCGAGCTCCTTCTAAGGGTTTCCCAGCTGGCACTGGAGAGGGGGGTGGGTGGATTGGAGCCTCCCCACCTGAGCACAATCCTGCAGGGACTCCAGTCCATCCACCTCACCCTCCAGCACTGGCTGAAAAAACCCCAGACTGAACTTTCCCCCCTCCCATTCTGAAAACAGCTCGGAGGATGGGAGGCAGGCAGATGCAAGTTACTGTGGATGCTATGTTTTGAAACATCTTCATTTGAACCCTCATGCAATGAGGGTTTAGATTTTCACATGATTGTGCCCTATTAAGCACCTTGTAGCTGTGCACTTCTGTTTGGTTAAGCTGTAGAGCACTTTCAGAGGCCAGATCAGGTGAAAATTGTCACCTCTGTCTACTCCCCAAGTCTAGTCTCCTGCTATCAGAACCACATTATAGGGTGCCTATACACATGCAGTGAGACTGCTTTGACCTGCTGTAATTACAGCATTTAGGAGCAGACTCGATTAATTGAGTCTTCTGGAGTGTGATAATTACTGTGCTCCAGCAGACTTCAGCATCATGTGTATCAGCATCCCTGTGCTGAAAAATGGTGGTGGGGGTTCTCTAAAGCTCATTTGACAAACTTTAGTTAAAGTGCCCCCACTGCCATTTTTCAGCATGGAGACACGGATACACGTAACACACTGGATGCTTTAATTAGAGTGGGTCTCAGAGTCAGTCTAATTAAAGCATCCCTGAGGGTGAGGGGGCTGCGGATGCTCGACCACCTGGAATTCATTGCCTGCTGGAATTCACCATCCAGCACAAGGTGGCAAAGGCCTGCAGCAAGGCAGCAGCCCTAGATTTCAGGAGGGCGGACTTCAGTGAGCTAAGGAGAATAGTCGGGGAAGCACTTAGGTCCCGGAGGGGAGGGGAGCTAGGTGTCCAAGAAGAGTGGTCGCTCCTTAAGGAGATGATCATCCAAGCCCAAAGGGAGGTAATCCCAACACAGATCAAAGGGAGCAGGAGGGCACACAAGCCCCCATAGCTCACCAAAAGCATCCGGGAATGTCTCCTAGCTAAAAGGGAGGCGTACACCCAATGGCAAAGAGGGGCCATCACCAGGGAAGACTATACTGCAGTTGCTCAGGGATGTAGGGGAGCAGTCAGGAAGGCCAAGGCAGAGATGGAACTGGGACTAGCTTCC